GTAGATAGCTAGAAAGAAAGAAAGAAAGAAAGAAAGGAAGAAAGAAAGAAAGAAAAAGGCGTAGATAGCTAGAAAGAAAGAAAGAAAGAAAGAAAGAAAGAAAGAAAGAAAGAAAGAAAGAAAGAAAAAGGTGTAGACAGCTAGAAAGAAAGAAAGAAAAAGGCGTAGATAGCTAGAAAGAAAGAAAGAAAGAAAGAAAGAAAGAAAATGTAGAGATAGATAATACGAGGCATTTTCTTTACAGATGAAGAACATTCGTCATGATTTACGGTCAAGTAAACCTGTTCCACCACCAGGCTTTTCCGGTAAGGTGGGTGGATTAGCGGGATTTAAAAAGACAAGGGCTGTCAAAGTGCGGTTGAACCTTCTGTCAGAGACAACGGCAATCTTGCACAATGCGATAATCTGAGCTTCATAGCTAAGCATGCAGCCACTAGGGAGACTATGAGATGACATCGCTGGACGGAGGGTTTCCTAGACGAGAGTCAACAGCTAGGGTTGGTTGTTCACACCACCCGATGGAATCAACCGCTAAGTATCCGTAACCGCGACGGACATTCAAGTTGAATGGAATCAGCTCTACTTTGACCTGGTGAAGGATGGAGTCCGCCAGGTCTACGCATGAATATGTGGAAGAAGTGTCAGTTGCTCACCTGCGCAGCGTCTATGGTGCTGATAATGATGATGAGGAGAAGTACAGGTGGGATTGAAAAAGTGTATCTTTAACCTTAGACTAGATGATTTAAGGTAGAGTATTTTTTTTTTAGCAGCATATAAATATATATGGGTTATTTAATGCCAAAATTTAAATATTTTGAACGCAGTTGTATGCCTTCAACTACAGATAAAATATACTGTTGGTCATTTTATTATGAATATGTATTGTTGCTTGATTGATTTTGTTCAGTGGCATATCAACCTCTATGGGTTATTTAATGCCGAAATCTAAATATTTTGAACAAAATTTTATGGCTTCACCTAAACATATTTTGAACGCAATTGTATGCCTTCCACTACAGATAAACTATATTGCTGGTTATTCTACAATAAATATTAATTGTTGCTCTTTTTTTTATATAAAAATGTATTACTGGTATTTTTACAATAAATATAATTTCCTACTTTCATAGTATTTTTTTTTGTTGTTTGGAGTTACTATTTGCCCATAGCTGGGACCCAAACACGTGCTAGCATTCCGGTTAAGGTGGTTTTTGGAACAACAATTAAGAGTTTGAGCCACGCTCCTCAAAATCGCGAATCTCCAGGCCAAAGGCCTTGCTACCAGAAGTAGTTTATAGTCATACTCAGGACTCGAGGTATGGTTATAAAAATTGAGAAAAATGTCTTTCTTTCACAGAAATCACAGGTAAAAAACTTAACTATGGCGCTTCCAAATGTAATAAATGTATTAAGAGGAGCGTGTGGCAAGAAAAAAGAATATACATCTCTTGAAGGAGTCCACCGAATAGAATAGGAAAAAATATTAAATCATTGCTACAAAATTTACGAAAACATAGCTACATTTGTTAGATGAAATATATTGACAATTATTCATCCAAGAAATGAAATATAAACTTATAAAAGAAGCGGTATGAACCATAAATGTCGAAACAAATATCAAAATAACCTGACACTGAATATAAAGACTAAAAATACATCCCGGTGGCATAGTGGATAAGGTAATGGCAATATTAGATGTTTCTCTATAAAGAAACATTTGACATTCAATGACCAAGCAGACAGTACTTTTGGTTGAAGTTTATGACATCTTTCTCTTAAAACAATTTTTCAGGGAAATAGGTTTTCTAAATCCTGTAACACTGATCGATCTTTCCAGTATTAATAGAAATGTTCTTCCTCACCCTTTATTTGAAGTTATGTTAAATGTCAACTTCTGGATTATTTCATTATTTTTCTATCTATTTTTGTTGTTGCTGCTGTTAGTACTCCTCAAGTGATGTCGTTTTTGATACGGTTCTTTGTTTGTGATTGTGTAGCTCCAGTCCACAATGCCCAAATAAGGATAATTTTTGGCAAAAGCCTCAGGTTCAAGACATTTTCCCTAGTGACAGAAATGGTTGTATACAGTTGAGAGTTTAAATATTTCTGAACGGGTTGGGCGCCATACATGATATCCAGATGAATGTCTCGATTTGACGAGGCTGTTTAAGAACATGACACGAATTAACAGATATCTCATATCAATCAAAACCTTTGATAGCTAATGATGTCCAGAGGGTATTTGATCGAAACTACGAGTCTATATAATAAAACCTACATCTAACATACACCCTTGTGCAAATAAATTAAAACAACCACTTTAGTTTCCTTTCTTTCATCATGCGGTCAGTTTTAGACTCACTGGAGTGACAGGGTGTAATCGATTTTTATTTTTCCTCAGATTAGTTCATTTGCAGTGGTGTGCTGTAATATGAATCAATTTTTGCGTCATCTGTGATTTCATCACGCCCAGACACTATTATCTCGACTGTCAATTAGTTGTCCTACAGCCATTGTCTGCGATAGAACTAATTCCAAGGAAGCGTACGAAAATTGTAACGCTGCACGAACACAATGGCAAGCATTACCAGTTCCTAGTTTGTGATTGTGTAACGCCAGACCACAATGCCCAAAGAAGGATAATCTTTGGCAAAAGCCCCAGATTCAACTCGCTCAAAGACATTTTTCACCATTGACAGAAAGGGTTGTATACAGATGAGAGTTTCGATATTTCTGAACGGATTTGGTGCCATTCATGACATCCATATGAATGTCTCGATCTGACGAGGTCATTTAAGAACGACTCGAATTAACAGATAAACCTTTGATAGCTAATGATATCCAGACGGTGTTTGCGAGAAACGTTGTGTCTATAATAAAACCTACATCTAACATACACCCTTGTGCAAATAAATTGAAACAACCACTTTAGTTTCCTTTCTTTCATCATATGGTCAGTTTTAGACCCGCTGGATTGATAGAGTGTAATCAAATCTATTTTTGCGTCATCCGTGATTTCATCACGCCCAGACACTATCGTCTCGACTGTCGATTATTTATCCTACGGACATTGTCTGCGATAGACCTTATTCCAAGGAAGCGTAGGAAAATTGTAACGCTGCACGAAGACATTAGCAAGCCTTACCGGTGAGCAAATCAAAGTACTATCAACTAGCTCGGAAGCTCTCTTGATTTAAATCCAATCATGAATCTGTGGTCAATCTGCAAGGAAAGACTTCTTGGAATGGACATACGAAGTTTTAATATGTGCACTGGGTTATGTGTCATTGGTAAAAGACAAAAAAAGGAAATAATAATAGAATTATTCCTTTTGTTTCAATTAATTTGCACAATGATGTATATGAGAAGAATGGTTTGAAATAATTGAAGTGTATTTCTTAGCTCAATTTGACTGGAAAGATATGTGGAAAAGTACAAAGCAATAAAATTTATCCAAAGCATCTTTCTCGGGTAGGACTGCCTGAAAATTAGCAATAAAGCATCGTTTTCTTTTGCTATACTTCTTTGTTGAATCAGGTTAGTGGAAAACATTAGTGTAGTGTAGTGTAGGTCAACCGTAACCCGGGGTGGTAGCACCTGTTAGGGTCGCAGCTATAGGTAAATAGTTAACACCCAAACTATGGTAAGGACACTAGGAAAATATGATCATAGGTCTTAGTACCAGCTATATATATTTGTAAAAAAATTATTACCAGCATTGAATTTCTGAAGATAAAACATTACCAGCAATACATTTTTGAAAAAAATATATTACTAACAATAAAATTCTTGTCGAGAGAGTAAACAAAAAACTCTATAAGTAATGTTTCCACTGGTTTACCATCACTGATGTCCATCCTTCGGAGGGTATCAGTCTTAAGACGATTGGATAAAAGCAACAATCAGGTTAAAAAAAAAAAATTAACGAAAAATAAAATAATTTAAATGCATTTCTTAGCTCAATTTGACTGGAAAGATGTGGAAAAGGACAAAGCAATAAAACTTATCCAAGGCATCTTTCTTGGATAATTTCTGCGGGCAGCGTAGAACTGGTAGGAATTTAACAATAAAGCATCGTTTTCTTACGCTATACTTCTTTGGATTAATGGAAAAGATTAGTGTAGTTATAGACGCGGATCTAACAAGGGGAACAGTTAATAAAAGAACACGATTTTTACTCGAGTCATGTTTGGGGGATTTCTTGGCTGGATAGCCGGTTGAGATTTTTATTAGAAAATAAGTCCTAACTACACTTTCAATTTTGGTACACTAACAGCAGGTTTTTTATTCATATCTGCAATCGATAAATAATTTGCCCTCGACTAATGCTTAATGATCTTTTTTCATAACCTATGACGACTACAATAAATTCGATTTTTTTCCGGTTAGATTTTTCTATTTATACTAACGAATCTATTTTCAACGGTTAAAACAAAAAAATATTGCCCGTCCTGGGTATGACGATAAACTACATCCGCGTTCTCGGTAAGACGATAAACTACGTCCAACAGCAAGGCCTCTGATCAGGAGGTTTTGAGGAGCGTGGAAGCACCTCTTAATTGCTGGTTTTCCCAGGTTTACCCTGACCTGGGGTGGTAGCACCTGTCAGGGTCCCAGCTATGGGCAAATAGTTAACCCCCACTCCAAAGGGGTCCAAACACTATGAAAATATATAAATAGTTTTTTAATACCAGCAGTAGCTTTTTAGAATTTTTTTTCTTTTATTTTTTGAAAAAAATATTACCAACAATAAAAATCTTGTCGGCATTAAATAACCCATTGAGGTGTTGATATGCCGTAAAACAAACCAAACGAAAGCAAACCAAAGATATTTCTAATGTTATTGGTCAAAGACAGTAAACAAAAACTCTGTAACTAATGTGTCCACTGGTTTACTATCTCTGATGTAGGTCTTTCGCGGGGGGGGGGTGTTCTGTAACGAAAGTGTATGCGTGAGTGAGTGGGTAGAAACTACTGGAATCTGAGAAATTTGATATGGTTTAGATACAAATTGAGAGAAAAATTGACGCAAAAGCAAAGCGTGAGATATTTTTGATAAGGGAACAAGAAAAAGAAAGAAAGAAAGAAAGAAAGAAAGAAAGAAAGAAAGAAAAGGGGAGTAAAATTGGGATAAAAAGGAAATTAAACCAGAAAAAGAAAAAGACAGGTAGATAAAGATACTGAATAGACTGCGATAGATAGATAGATAGATAGATAGATAGAGAGAGAGAGAGAGAGAGAGAGAGAGAGACTTGAATAGAACTGACAGTTGTATCCTCTAGTTAAACAGTAAAATGGAGAGACCTAGTTGCCAATTGACTAGCATCTGAATCATGCTGTTGAGGAACTAAAGGGAACAGTTCATCGGAATAAGTGACGTGTTTTGGTAAAAAAACAGGGAAAACTTAGATAGATAGATAGATAGATAGATAGATAGATAGATAATACGTGCGTGTGTGTAAAATTGACCAATACAGGGACAGAGCATATGTGAAAGCTTGACAATTGCGTTTTTGCATGAAGCCGACTGCCGTCATCAAGTGTTCATATCTATGTCCACATTGAATAGATAGATAGAGAGATACACTGGTAGATAGATAGATAGATAGATAGATAGATAGATAGATTTGAAAAATCTAAGATAGATATGAACAGATTGAATATGTGGATAGGAACAAAGACAGATATGAACAGACTGCTATAGATAGAGAGATAAATATGGACAGTCTGAGATTGGTATGAACTGATTAAGATATTCACCTTGTTTTTTATCTAGCCATAAATAAACTAATTACAAATGAGACGCAAAATATTAATATTAGAACGTTCTAGCTTCATAAAATATACTTTACCAAAACAAATCAAATTATTTAAATTAATGGTATATTCCATTCATTTAAAGTAATATGCTCTTAAATCTAAGTGATTCGTAATAAATCTTCTTTGACGATTGCAGCATTCTCATGGACGATTTGTTTTAAATTCCTGCCATGAATTTTCAGTTGAATTTAGATTCGGGATGTATATTGGCCATGTTATTAATTTGCATGCCTTTCCCGAAGAAAAACGTCTTTGGCTTCCGAAAGATGATTCCATCGCCTGGTGGTTCCAATCTGTGTAAAAATGCTTGCCAAAACACTCACTATCTCCAATTTATAAACAAAACATACAGATGCATGCTGGGATTTATTCCTAGCCTAAAAAAAGGCCACTTTCCGGTCTCACCAAATTTAGTTCTGTTCTTTTTTGTCTTGAAGCCAAAAAGCTGCGTTCTCTTGTCTGTATCCACTTTTGTGCGTTAACACCACTCTTAGTTTGTGAACTTTTTGCCTTATTACTGTTGCTTAGCCTTATTACTGATTTGCCTTATTTCTTTTGTTTTGCCTTCTTTCTGTTGTTTTGCCTTATTTCTGTTGTTTTGCCTCATTTCTGTTTATTTGCCTTATTTCTATTGATTTGCTTTATTTCTGTGGGTTTGCCTTATTTCTGTCGTCCTGCCTTATTTCTGTGACTTTGCCTTATTTCTGTTGTTTAGCCTTATTTTTGCTTATTTGCCTTATTTTTATTGATTTGCTTTATTTCTGTCGTCTTGCCTTATTTCTGTCGTTTTGCCTTACACATATTGTTTGATCAATATTATTTAGTTTGTTCTGTTCTTCTCTTTTCTTTATTTTGCTATTGTTTATTGCAAATTTTTCTCATTTTTGGTTGATGAACATCTCAGCCAATTCCATATAAACCTGGTCATTTTCTCTACATCGTCAAACCAATTTTCTATCGATGCTTTCTCTTGATCGTTCCTCTTTAGGCCACTTAAAACTTAAAATTTCTTGTGTCTGTTTTCTTTTGGCTTAATTCACATTTAATTCAGTTTATTTCTTAAGTAAATGTATGATGTCGATGATTGTTCATATATATATATATATATATATATATATATATATATATATATATATATATATTATATATATAAAGAACGAAACGATTCCTGAAAGAAAAGAAAAGGAAATTTATTTATACACAGCCAAAAAAGAAAGGAAGAAAATCCTTTTGCAAGTGCCTGTTTACCTGCGCCATGTGGTTTGGTGAAAAGAAGCAGTCGGCCTGCCCGAAGCGCCTGTGTTGTTGCTACATCACAGAGCAAATGAAAAGTCCTTTGCTTTTATGCCACTGACTGTCACTGGCAGACAATGCGAGTAATATCGCAGCTGATTACCACAACATCAACCAATATTGCATTCTTCGAGTTTAGATTTTTTTCCACAGATTTGTGAGAAGAAAAATCAAACTAGATCTGTTGTTATCAAATTCTCCCGTTGACGCCTCAAATAAAACCTAAAATGGCGACTAAGGTCGTTAAATAAATGGGAATTTTTATTCTGGCATTTGCTAGCTTCATGTTAGTTCATTATCGACTGTAGGATTGATAGCAATCGATTTCTTTCGATAATCAATGTCACTGAGGGCAATGGTTAATGGAAGTCGGGAGTCCCAAAACTTCTTCGCTAACTGCTGACTCATTCTATAGTCACTTTTCCCGGGCGAATCGGAATTGCAAATGCCGACAGGCTTTTTGAACGGAGGACGTTGTTGATACTTGTCAAGAGTTGGCCATAACTACGTCTAGAAGCGAAATTAAACACTTAAGACAAAGTGTTAGAAATAAAGGACACCATGATGAAGAAGAACGCAAAGAAGATGCTGGCCAATTAATTGCAGAAACTCTGTACCTTGCAGCAAAAACAGAAAAATACAAATTAAAATGTCAGCCTTTTATTAATTATTGCTAATTTAGAGATTTCATTCTTGCCTCTGAAAGTTTTTGTGAAGTCATTAGGAGATTTTGTTCTCAGTCTGTATGTCATTTGGCTTCCTTGCCATGTCGATGTTTTGGTTCAGATTTTATCATAGAACATGGTAAAGAGTAATAATCCTTACGCCCTTGAACTTGTTCAATGCTAAATCCTGGAGCGAGATACCGACATGGCAAGGGAGCCAGGTAACTTAGAGACTGACAACAAAACTGTCTTCTAGTGACTTCGCACAAATCTTTCTACCTAATTGTCAGATTGGCAGAAACAATCGCTCATGTAATTGGCTGAAATGCCCATTAACAAAAAATGACAAAATTTGCAATAAAAACAATAAGAAAAAGAGAAGAACAGAACAAAAGAAATAATATCGAGCAAACACTATGTGTAAGGCAAAACGACAGAAATAAGGCAAAACAAAAGAAATGGGGCAAATCAACAGTAAAACAAGTGAAATACCTACCTTCAAAATCATCAACATCCGATATTAGTCAGAAATACATAACTATTCATTCTATTAAAACACGATGGCTTCAAAGCATCATATTCTAAAACCTCTCTGTCTCATACCACTGAATTGGGTGTTTATATATCTATCTCTAGCATGCGGCTCGTTGCCATGATTGCAAACCTAGTTGGTCCTTTGCCACGATTGAAAACTTAGTTGGTCTATTGCTATGATTACAAACCTAGTTGGTCTATTGCCATGATTGAAAACTTAGTTGGTCTGTTGCCATGATTACAAACCTAGTTGGTCTGCTACGTGAATCTGCATTCGGCGGCTGGGGGTGTCACATCAGATCAACACAGTACCTGGCTTAGCGGACACCACACCGAGTGCAAAAATAGTCTGTCAAGATCTGGGGTGAGATCAATATTCATATTTATAAAAATAATTCGACAAGAATTAATGTGAGCACAATATTTTCATAAAGTCCCTGAACTTTTATTAAGAAAGCCTGAAGCATTAAATGTGAATGTTTTCCTAATCTTGGCCTCGGAGTATCACGTAATCCAAACGGCTTGTGGCCTTGAAGCAGAAAAAGCCTACTAAAACAAAACAAAAAAGGAAATGTAACCATCTCTTTCTTTTCTATTAACTTTCACCCAATGAAATATCGTCATCCAGCTGAAGTTGCAGTGAGCTCAAAAACTGGCTATTGGTTTAAAATTTAAAAAAATAGTTTTGTAAATTCGAGAAATGTTTCCTATCTTGAATTATCTAAAAATAGAATAGAATTATCTAAAAATAGAATAGAATTATCTAAAAATGATCAACCGAAAACATCAGTAGAAATTCCAAAAGGAAAACAAAATAAAATATTTAAAAAATCAAAGGTATTTAAAATTTTGTTGTCCCAGGGTTCCGACACCATATCTTAATCTAGCATGAGCGATTGTTTCTGACAGTTGGACAGAAATTCCAACCTTGCAAATCATCAACTTCTGACATCTGTCAGAGTACATAACTATTTATTCCATTAAAACACGCGGTATTTTTTTTTTGTCCCAGGGTTCTAACACTATGTCTAAGTTTTTTTCATGTATGAAACAATGATATCATGGGTATTATTATCCAAGACCCTCGGGTGGGCAGTTGGGTACATGAGTCTATTTTACAACCCAAAAATGCAAACGAACGGATGGTACATAAAAATAAAAAATAATCAACCAAAAAAAAAAAACAACAGTAGAAATTCCAATAGGAAAACGAAATCAAAGGTATTTAAAATTTTGTTGTCCCAGGGTTCCGACATTATATCTAAATCTAGTATGAGCGATTGTTTCTGAAAATTGGATAGAAATACCTACCTTGCAAATCATCAACTTCCGATATCTGTCAGAGTACATGACTATTTATTCCATTTAAAACAAGCATCATTTAAAAAAATCAAAGGTATTTAAATTTTTTTGGAAAAAAATATGGCTCTGGTTTACTAGGATTTCTTAAGCAATCAATCACCTCATCCCACTCCCAATAATCTTCATAGAAAAGAAATTGTAAAATCACCCACGAGAGGGTCGTGTAGGCAACAGACATACCACCACGACCATCCAGTGGTTCGTGTGAGAGCCAACGTGTTAAGCCAGCAAAGTCAGTAGAAATATATAACTTAAATTTAATCCGTAAAATACAAGGTTCAATGAGCATAATTTTTGATTCTCTCTTGCACTCTCCACCTCTCTCTCTCTCTCTCTCTCTCTCACTCCCTTTTTCTTTATATATATATATATATATATATATATATATATGAGTGTGTGTATGTGTGTGTGAAAAATATATAGAAAATAGGAAAGAACTCGTTAGGTAAATAATCCAAAGTTCTTTAGTATTTTTTGTTATTTAAAAAAAAATAGTGCTCGATACAAAAGTAGAGCATAAATATAATTATTTATTTTAAAATATGATTCCAACACGCTACATAAGAGTTCTCATGTTTCAAAACAAGAGCCGAATACTTCAATATAATTATTTGAATTAAATTGAAAGAACAGAGCTTAGTCAATTTAATTCAAATAATTATATTGAAATTCTCGGCTCTTGTTTTGAAACATGAGAACTCTTATGTAGCGTGTTGGAATCATATTTTTAAATAAATAATTATATATATATATATATATATATATATATATATATATACTCATTTATATATTTATATTTATATATATATACTCATCTAGAAAAAGAATCGGAAAAGGTACAAGATCCTGTCTATACTTTTGCGCTCAGCGCTAACATAAATGTTCTTGTGAAAGGCATGAACCTACCTCTTCTTCCTCCATCTGGCTATGGTTTAAAATAACAGGTTACTGGTAATTTTCCCCTACACTCTTACGTTTCTCTTCATCTTTCTCTTTATCCTCACTTCTCCCTTTCTTTAATACTATTTCTCTCACAGTCTCTCTCTCTCTCTCACAGTCTCTCTCTCCCCCTCTCTCTCTCTCTCTCTCTCTCTCTATCCCTTTTCCTTCACATGTGTACACACTATATCTTTACTTCACTTTTTCAAACACTCAAAAGCTCCCTAATTTCATGAATATTTTTATTTCCCTTTCTCTCTCCTTCGCTCTTTCAGTCTTGCCTCTTTCTCTCTCATTCTCTCTTTTTTCATACACAGCTATTCTACTTTTTCTTTTCTCCCTCCTCCTCTTTTTCTTTCATAAATTCCAAATTCACTCTTTCCTTCCCTCTTTTTTCTCTCTTTCTCTATTACATTTTTCCAATTATCTTTTTGTCTCATTCTCGCAATTTTTCCTTTCATTGTACTTTTTCTCTTCCCTTTCCTCTCTTTTTCTTCCTCCACCACTCCTTCACAAACAGGTTCTCTAACATTGGGTGGCAACCAGTTTAAGAAAAAAAAGCTGAATTCTGCGCACTACCAAATTATTAATGGTGCATGGCAAAAACCATGTAACATATTATCTTCCTGTGCTCTTCACCAGCATCAACCGAGGCCATAACCATAGGGTTATCCTGTAAGACTTCACTGTGCCGTCTCCCGTAGACCCAACTATTCGAAGAATTCTCTGCCGTCTACACCAGCTCCTATCCGGGCATCAGGATTGTTATTCTCTCTCCCTATTCGGGATTCGGAGAACTGGTCTTCCAGCAAATTGATACAAGGACTCCTTAAAAATAACCCTAGTCTCCAAAGAAATCAACAGGGCCTGATGAGTGGTAGACATGGCAACAGAATGTCTACCAAGCAACCTCCTTCGACGAAATACACCACATTTAGAATACGGGGGAAATGAAGGTGATTCGGCTCCGTGGAAGTAGCATCATCTTTCCTAGCTGTAAATGTCTGAACTGGTAGAACTGAAGAATGGAGTTCATCTGATCATGTAATTATTTAGTTTCGTTTGTTGAATTTGACGGTGACGCCAATACTGACGAGGAATTCCTTTCGGAATCAGCTGCAGGAGAAAAGAATCCTTGCTTTCCCAGTAAGTATCTGACTCCTCCTGACATACTCTGTCTCTACCAGATCAGAGCAAAAATTGAGCATACCTGCCATATCACTTTCCAGCCTTGACTGAGATCAAAAGCGTTTACGCGGCCTTGTGGGTGATGGGTTATTTCCCACTCTACATCATCTTTTTCCACAATTACAAGCCTAACGTTTTTCTATAGCTATTTCCATAGGAGGATTTTGGCGAGCTATATTCCTTAGTTTGACCACGTCAGACTTTTACAGCCAAGAGCTACCTTTCTACGTGTACATGGTTGAATTGCCATCATTCCATCCGTAATCCTTTGGTAAGAATGATGTCTTACTCTGAAAGATCATTTCCAAGAATTTCCCATTTCTAGAAACAGACTCCTGTGTAGATCCTTCCCTGAACACGACACTTAACCTCTTCGAGTCAAAAATCAATCGTTGTCTATCCTCCTTATCCCCGTAATCGTCAATTCCTCCTTCCACCTCTTACGTTCATATTCCACAAACCATTCAGAAACGCCCTACCTAGAGCGGCTCTTGGGCCTTGTATCGGGTTGAACCTTGTTGTTATCACGACGTTTTAGCCGTTTCAACCACCGGCCCTCATCAGTTTCTTGCCGATCCGGTAACCTTCAAGAAATTTCACCGGTAGAGTGTACTCATTTCGATACCCATTCGACGAGATATCTCGTCTCTCATTTAATGCCTCTCAGCTGTTGCTCGCCACCGAGTCTAAATATACACTGCCCGGCCAAGGGATTGAACTAGCAATTACTATGTTAGCAAATTCACATAGGAAAGATTTAATCCCCAGGGGCTATTGGCGTTTACTGCCATTTCTCATTCATTGTTTGATAACGGCTTCCATATTGTCATTTCACATGCAAGTCCTACTAAAGCGATCCTCACTGTAGTTTATGAACGATGCCTCAACAAGATCTGTTCAATTTGGGTCAATTCTTCGAGCATTCAAGGAATCAAGTTTTTAGTTAGCATAACTTTTTTCCCCTTTCCGTCATATCAAGAAACTCGGAAGACAAGCTGAAACGAGTTATCAGCCAACCTTCATGTTAAAAACATCGTTCGGGTGATGTCTTTTCACCTCCGACCAAAACATTGTTAGGAATAGGATGGATGGCGAAAATAAAAGAGAAAAAAAAAAAAAAAAAAAATTACTATTATGTAAATCTAAAGATGAAACCATTTTAGTAGAGTTTAATGTGTTTGTATTTTTAGTTTGTGCTTCGCTTGTTTTCCGTATATTGATTTCAAATGGACCAATGCTTTCAGCAAAATATTCTGCCGAGAGCGACTGCCTTTTAAAGGGACTATTTTTGTCTTACCACAGTTTTTCTCCCTCCCACTGTTGTTGTTGCTGTTATTGTTGTTGTTAATCTTCTTCTTCTTCTTTTTTTCTTTTCCTTCCTCCTCCTCCGCTTCTTCTTCTTTTTTCTTATTTTCCTTCCTTCCTCCTCCTCCTTTTCTTCTTCTTCTTCTTTTTTCTTCTTTTCCTTCTTCCTCCTCCTCCTTTTCTTCTTCTTCTTCTTCTTTTTTCTTCTTTTCCTTCCTCCTCATCCTCCTCTTCTTCTTCTTGTTTCTTATTTTTCTTCCTCCTCCTCCTCATCCTCTTCTTCTTCTTTTCCTTCTTTCTTTTCCTTCCTTCTTTTCATTCCTCCTCCACGTCTTCTTCTTTTCCTTCCTTCTTTTCTTCTTCTTCTTCTTTTCCTTCCTCCTCCTCCTCCTCCTCCTCTTCTTCTTCTTTTCCTGACTTCTTCCTCCTCCTCCTCTTCTTCTTCTTCTTCTTCTTCTTCTTCTTCTTCTTCTTCTTCTTCTTCTTCTTCTATGCTTCCAGCTCTCTCGTCTCGTTCACAACCACTCAGATGTCCCCTCTCTTAATTTCTTTCTTTCTTTCATTCGTGTCTCTTTTTCGCTCAAACTTCTCCTTCTAGATTTCGCATACACTCTCTTTGTCACTTCTTTTCTCTCTCTCTCTCTCTTTTCTCTCTTTCTCTCTCTCTCTTCCTCTCTCTCTCTCTCTCTCTCTCTCTCTTTCAATCCTTCTCACACGCACCTACCCTTCTCTTTTATATATACATACGCACACTCGCTCACTTTCACGGAAACTTTTCCTCTCCATATTTCTCTCTCTTTATCTATCTGTCTGTCTCTATCTGACACACTTTCATGCAAACACGTTCTCTCTTTCTTTGCATATTCTATTTCATATAGACACACGCTTTTAATAATTCTCTGTCTCATAAAAGTTCTTCTCAGTTTTAACACAATCCCCCCCCCTCGGTTTTTCGATCACACATTCTCTCTTTCTTACTCTTTCTTACTCTTTCTCTTTCAGTCCTTCATCCACGCAGACACAGACGCACATACACACATTTAACCTTATCCTATCTCTCTCTCTCTCTCTCTCTCTCTCTATATATATATATATATATATATATATATATATATATATATATATATATATATATATATGTCTCCCTGTTCTTCTTTTCACGGACACTTCTTTTCCTTTCTCTCTCTTTCTATTTCTCTCTCATTCATGTACACTCTCTGTCTCATAAAAAGCACTCTCATTATTTTAACACACACACATTTTTACCTTCTTTCACTTTTATATGCACACACACTCTTCTTTTCATTTATGTATATGTGTGTGTTTGTGTGCCTATCTCTTTCATATATACACTATATCACTCTATATCACCCTGTCCCATAAAAACTCTCTTTTAACAAACTTCTCTCCCTTTATATTTTACACATTTTCTTACTCTCCATCTTTTTTCCCTCCCTTTATTTAATTATATATATATATATATATATATATATATATATATATATATATATATATATATATATTGTTGTTCGCTATCATACGCCTCTGCTCATAAATGTCCTGAATTTCATTAACAATATGTCCATAACATACGTTCTTATTCTCACCATTTTGTCTGTAAGGTGAAAACAAATTTCAATTCAAGTTCCGCCTGTTGTAGTGACAGGTTCAAGTGCAGGACAAAATGTCGGGCTGCTTCCATTGTTGAAAAGCGCGCGTATCTTCTCTTCCAATTTTCTTCCCTCGATTCAACATCATTAAAAGCTGTTGACCTGACAGGGTCACCCCGCAGCGATCTGTGACAAACCTGAAAGCTGCTTTTGATAAAAACAAAATAGAGAAAATAGATAGGAAAAGCTAAGGAGACAACCAGAGACAGACGATAGAAGTGCGGATGCCATGTTGAATCATCTCCGCCGATGTCAACAAAAATTCAAAATGGCGGATAATGGACACATTCTACGCTCGGCATAAAAGCCCCAGCAGGTTCGCAGCTTTTGTGTTATTTTTTGGAGAAGGCGATCCAGAATAGTAAAAAGTGTCAATCGCAGAGGTACTAAAAAAAAAAGAAGAAAAAAATTGAAAAAAAGGGGAAGGCAGATGTTCGGTGCGATGAGGAGAGAAACGTAGGGAAAACAAATATATTAAGAAAATATATTAAGAAAACAAGGGGAATATATATAAAATAATTGATGGCTGTTCTCTCATGAAAAATATACCGGGTGTAACTGCAAAATTTTCCAAATTGTGTAAAAGCAAAATTGTCCATTTCTTAGATTAAGCTTTGCACCGGTGTATCTTAGAAATGATCATCGGAAAATTCCAGTAAGATATCTTTATATCTTACTGGAATTTTCCGATGTTTTTTCTAACATTACTGAACTCTACTTTGAGCATTAAGAATGTATCATTACTCTCCATGCTTAAAAGAATCGTGATGAAATTTATCATAAACGAAAATGATATTAAACAATCATAGCAAAAGATCGGAAGCTCATGAAGGATTATTCAAATACACATATATTATTCCAGAATCATTTTCCAACCTATTCAAGATGACCTTCGCCCTCCCTGATCTTCTTTCTGCCCTGAGTAGCAAGATGCCTCAGACGTTTCACGTAGGATTTCATTTTCAAGTCTTTTTTCACTTCTCTTTGGACTTGCATAGATGAAACTCCTCCCCCCACGCGTCAAACGTCTTATGGATTAAGTTGGACCCTTTCCAATTGACCTATTTAGCACTTCTTCATCTGTGAGATTATCCAGCATTCACTGCTATATAGGGTGACTGATAATGCGTAATAATTCAGTACTCTTTTCTTTGTTTCTAACCTAATTTTCCTGTTCCTTAATACGTTGCTTAGCTTTTGGTAGTTTCGTTTGTTCTATCATTTTAGTGGTTTCAATCCTCTGCTAGAATACTTCCGGGATATTTAAATTGTTGTACCTGCTTAATTTTGACATCTCCAATTTGTAATTTACATGCTGAGCTGCCCTTTTTGCTAACAATCATCCATTCTATCTTCTTGCAATTGGTGTTTAATCTTCTGTAGCAGTTCCTGTGGTTTCCTTTTTGTTTACTATTAATACTGTGTCATTTGCATATTTTATATTATTAAGACTGTGGCCGCCAATAATTAATCCTGATAGGATTTCTAATTCTCTCATATTTGCCTTCTGTATCGGTTCAAAAGGTCTGGTGAGAAGAGGCATCCTTGTCTTACACCACTTTCTGTTTTTGTATAATTACTGACTTCATTTTCTATCTGTACGAAGACGTTTTGCTACCAGTATAGCTTTTGGATTATTCTAGTATCCTTCCTAAATATATCAAGTTTATCTATTAGTCGAAACAGTTTTTTTGTGAAGTAATTTATCAGATGCTTTTGCATAGTCTATAAAACATATGTATCCTTTTTAATTTGTGTTGCTTTTTTCTTATATCATTTTGAAATATAACGCTTTCCTTGTCCCAATGTCTTTAACGAAGCCGCACTGTTTTTGTCCAGTTACAGATCTAATTCTGCTGGGCGGCCATTTGATCAGAATTCGAATGATAAGTTTTGTTCTATGACCCATTAGCCTGGTTGTCCAATGCAACGGACATTGTTACACGCCATATGTCTTGATCAGGAATCGAACAAAATCGGATGTCTTACTAGGAAAACCCTTGAAGGATTCGCATACTCATATATAGAACATTTCTAAACGAGTTATCTACCCACGCAAAAGAAATGCACACGTACCTCACTTTCTACACAATCTCTCTCTCTCTCTCTCTCTCTCTCTCTATCTGTCTGTCTGTCTGTCTGTCTGTCTCTCTCTCTCTCTCTCTCTCTCTTTTAATATCAATACGTATATATATTTCATAATTTTCTGTGGGGTACAGAATTTTATTATGGAAGTAAAAACGGTAAAACCAATTTCACTCTTCATGATAAAAAATAAAAGGAAAAAAATAAAAGAAAGGAAAAAGAAAAAAATAAAAGAAAGGAAAAAGGAAAAAGAAAAGAAAGGAAAAAGGAAAAAATAAAAGAAAGGAAAAAGAAAAAAGAAAAGAAAGGAAAAAATAAAAGAAAGGAAAAAGAAAAAAAGAAAAGAAAGGAAAAAGGAAAAAATAAAAGAAAGGAAAAAGAAAAAAATATAAAACAAACGCAGCTGACCGGTTTCGCCCTCACCCAACAGATCTGAAATCGAGGAATTATATATCGCAATAAAAAAACATAAAAAAAAACAAATAATATGTAATATTAAAGGCAGAATACAATCTAGATTGGAATTACGTGAAATCCAAACAGACACTCCCTCTAATTACAGAGGGAGGGTTATAAATTGTTTCCAACACCTTCAACTAAAAAAGCGAACAAGCACGACCCTAGATGGTAAAAGAGTCGCTGCTGAAGTTGGGGACACAATTTGGGCTTTTAATGAAATGCTCTGCAATAAGGAAACCATATATATTGTTGAGAACGTTCCTATTGTTAACCGTTCACATATCTTGAGTCTACTATGGTTTCTGCAGAGATAGCAGAAAATTGATTTACTATGAAGTCTTCTGATCAGTGGATTTAATCTCCGCGAAGCTCATAGCAAGGCCAAGACAAATACACATTTATTTATATATTTTGTAATTTTTATGCCTTTCTGATGTAATGAATATGCATACACACGGGTTTCCCCTCACAGTAATATGCTTGGCTGGTGTCAGCCATAAATACAGACTGATCTGGAGGTACAGTACGACGCCTATTCGCTACGCCTATTGTCTTCGCCTATTACTTACCACTACGACGAAGACCAGTCCATTACGGTTACCTGCTAGATTGTCCTACTCGGTTATAGTAGTCAACAACCACTTTGCTACTTCGAACAAATATATCCCTCTTTCTTTTAATGTTGTGGATGAAATAAAGAGGGTATAAGTTGTGTATCTGATGCGATTGGGAAGTCCTTGCATAGTACCAGCTACTTCCGCAAAATAAAATATTCAATTATGATGTGCACCGTTCCTAGCTGATGAAAAGCAGCAATAACGGTAAATCGTCCAGACAGTACTTTTTTTCAGATATTTTATATCAGTTATTTTCACGAACACAAACATGCACACATTCAAAAATATACAGATTGGCTGAAGGACATATGCGTGAGGCCAAATAGTTACAACCTTCTAACCATAAGACACTGGTTCGAATATCACCAAGGTCGATTTATCAGGAAGATGTCTTCTCTATGTTATAGGTCTGGGGAGACTTTTTCAGCGACCCGCCCTGTTAGCCAAATAATACCACGAGTTGACCAAAACCTTGTCAATGAAACAGCGTCGTTGGAATTGTTCAGAAATCGTCTGGTTAACTACAAGTTATCCTTAGCGACAGTTTGAGCGTACTGGCGATATTCATATCAATGATCATACCAGTTTATACTCTCTCTGCCAAAAATCGAAACTAAGGCCCACTCAGCATAGTTACCGTATAAACCACAGGTTGGTTATGTGGGTATTCAGTAAATGCAAGCGTCTTCATCAGGGATTAGCTAACTACTCTAGCAGATAGACATACTCAGATACAAGTTGCCAGCCATGGATCTCATTGTCAATGACCTGCAGTAGAGAATAAATATTTGTATTATGCGAGTGTAAGTCCCCCCACCACGACCACATAATGCCAGAATAAATTTTGAAGTCGGCGTCCTTCAGAGAAACTAGGTGCATGGACGGGTTGATCTAAGAGCTGACTCTTCTCAGCTGAGTGTTCATCCACGCTTGACACGAGTTAAGTGGCATGTAAGCACATGATCAACCCAGGATGTAAACGTCCTATTTTGTTCCACTACGTTTGACTATCTTTAAGACAACTTAATGAATGCTTCTACCCAAAACTTGATACATTGTACGATATTTTTATACTATATTTAACTATCTTTGAAGTACGTTTATGATTTCATCCTTCAATTTCATGACATCGCTCTGGATGATGAACTAGCCTGAAAGGTTTTTACAAGCTTTCACGTAACTGGTGTTCTTCCCATCAAGAGAATTTGGTAGGTATCGAAAAAGGTTGTAATCCGAAAGTGTAAAATCGAGTCAGTACAGTGGATTTAATAGGACATACCTGCAAATATGGACTAATTAATAGCGGATGTGCAAAAAGTTTTTAACTGTCCACATGAATGATGACATCTTTCCGATTGTCTGTACGATTTACATTAATTGTTGCTTTTAATCGGCCCAGCTAGGAAAGGTACACGTCATAATTCAATATTTTATTTTGCAGAGGTAGCTCGTAATACGCAAGGACATTCCAATCGCATCGAATACACAACTTTTACACACAAAATTTCATTCACAACGCCAAAAGAAAGGAAAAAATTGTACAGCCACAAAAATGATTATGATATTAATAACAACAATTACAATAACAATGAAAATAACAAATAGATAAAAACAGACATACAATACAAGCTACTAACTCGTTAACATCTAGTATACAAAACAATTTATTGAGCCTTAATAATATGAAAATAATTAGAACCATTTCCAAAGATATTATGGCTATGATTCGAACTAGAAATATCCAATAATAATTCTGAAGCAGTTATATATAAAATAAAAATGTCACAACTGCTATTCATAATACATTGGTTAAACTTGCCGAAAATAAACTCTCACGACTGATCTTCACAATATATTGGTTAAACATGCCAAAAATAAACTCTCACAACTGATCGTCACAATATATTGGTTAAACATGCCAAAAATAAACTCTCACGACTGATCTTCACAATATATTGGTTAAACATGCCAAAAATAAACTCTCACAACTGATCTTCACAATATATTGGTTAAACTTGCCGAAAATAAATTCTCACAACTGATCTTCACAATATATTGGTTAAACATGCCAAAAATAATGTCTCACGAATAATATTCACAATATATTGGTTAAACTTGTCAAAAATAAACACTCACGACTGATCTTCAAAATATATTGGTTAAACTTGCCGAAAATAAACACTCTCGAGGGATCTTCGCAATATATTGGTTAAACATGCCAAAAATAAACTCACACGACTGATTTTCACATTATATTGGTTAAACATGCCAAAAATAAACTCTCACAACTGATCTTCACAATATATTGGTTAAACATGCCAAAAATAAACACTCACGACTGATCTTCACAATATATTGGTTAAACATGCCAAAAATAACTCTCACAACTGATCTTCACAATATATTGGTTAAACAGGCCAAAAAATAATGTCTCACGAATGATATTCACAATATATTGGTTAAACATGCCAAAAATAAACTCTCACAACTGATCTTCACAATATATTGATTAAACATGCCAAAAATAAACTCTCACAACTGATCATCAAAATATATTGGTTAAACATGCCAAAAATAAACACTCACGACTGATCTTCACAATATATTGGTTAAACAGGCCAAAAATAAACTCTCACGACTGATCTTCACAATATCTTGGTTAAACATGCCAAAAATAAACTCTCACGACTGATCTTCACTATATATTGGGTAAACATGCCAAAAATAATGCCTCACGACTGATATTCACAATATATTGGTTAAAGATGCCAAAAATAAACTCTCACAACTGATCTTCACAATATATTCGTTAAACATGCCAAAAATAAACTCGCACAACTGATCTTCACAATATATTGGTTAAACATGCCAAAAATAAACTCTCACAACTGATCTTCACAATATATTGGTTAAACATGCCAAAAATAAACTTTCACGACTGATCTTCACAATATATTGGTTAAACATGCCAAAAATAAACTCTCACGACTAATCTTCAAAATATCTTGGTTGAACATGCCAAAAAAAAAACTCACGACTGATCTTCACAATATATTGGTTAAACATGCCAAAAATAATGTCTCACGACTGATCGTCACAATATATTGGTTAAACTTGCCGAAAATAATGTCTCACGACTGATATTCACAATATATTGGTTAAACTAGTCAAAAATAAACACTCACGACTGATCTTCACAATATATTAGTTAAACTTGCCGAAAATAAACACTCTCGACTGATCTTCACAATATATTGGTTAAACCAACCAAAAATAAACTCTCACAGCTGATCTTCACAATATCTTGGTTAAACATGCCAAAAGTAAAACTCACGACTGATCTTCACAATATATTGGTTAAACATGCCAAAAATAATGCCTCACGACTGATATTCACAATATATTGGTTAAATTTGCCGAAAATAAACTCTCACAACTGATCTTCACAATATATTGGTTAAACATGCCAAAAATAAACTCTCACAACTGATCTTCACAATATATTGGTTAAACATGCCAAAAATAAACTCTCACAACTGATCTTCACAATATATTGGTTAAACATGCCAAAGATAAACACTCACGAATGATATTCACAATATATTGGTTAAACATGCCAAAAATAAACTCTCACGACTGATCTTCACAATATCTTGGTTAAACATGCAAAAAAAAAACTCTCACGACTGATCTTCACAATATATTGGTTAAACATGCCAAAAATAATGCCTCGCGACTGATATTCACAATATATTGGTTAAACTTGTCAAAAATAAACTCTCACGACTGATCTTCACAATATCTTGGTTAAGCATGCCAAAAATAAACTCTCACGACTGATCTTCACTATATATTGGTTAAACATGCCAAAAATAAACTCTCACAACTGATCTTCACAATATATTGGTTAAACATGCCAAAAATAACCTCTCACGACTGATCTTCACAATATATTGGTTAAACATGCCAAAAATAAACACTCACGACTAATCTTCACAATATATTAGTTAAACTT